CATTCAAACATTAAATAATTAAAACGCTACATTAAATTTAAATAATAAAAAAGAAATGCAATTATATCCCTCCGAGAATACAATTCTTATTACTTTAACATTAATTATCGCCTTCATTGTTCGCTTTACATTTGCATTTTAAATCACACTTATTTAATGAAAATCAACTTTTTATTAACAGCAGGTAGAATCTCATTGAAAATTTCGCTCGTAGGTACACGTCGCGCAATAATATTGACTACACAAGAGTGCCATGGATTGAAACTCCGGTGAAACGATTCGTGGTTTCGTTTGATATTTTATTAAAATCAATTCTACTCTGGTAATTACTCTGGATGTAATCAAGTTGCCCTGGAGTAGCTTGGCATCGGCGTATCGAACCAGCGGTAGATGCGCGATCGAAAAGAGCAGCAGCAGAAAGCCCAGCTTCACTGAGTTCCGAGTGCGCGAAGCTCGTGCGACGAGCGTTCCTCCGCACATTACTATACCGCGATCGCTACAGTTGCATACTGTACTCAGCGGTTAAGCGGCCACTTTGATCAATATTTCCCGGTGCCATGACTTGTATATCGATTTGATTATTCACACGAAACGGGTCGACATTCGCGAGATTGTTGAGAAAAAAGAAAAAAGGGAATGCTCCCACACACGAAATTTTGTGCTGCCGTAGATTCTCCCTTCCGTATACATACTTTCTATTTCCTCTTTTTCTTCTACACTGAAAAAATTTACTAAATCTTAATATACGTTTCATTGAATAGTACTAAGTAAACATTTAATTACAGTAAATAATTACTTAAATATATATGTATTTTTAATGAAAGTGAATTAATGTTTTTATATCAAATAAATGTATGTATGTTTACATTTAGTAAATATTTACTTAGAACTATTCAAACAAATATTTATTGAAATTTAGTTTTTTCTTTTTCAGTATAATGCCTGAATATATAAGTTTTGATTGCGGGAGATTTAGATAAAATAATAATGGAGCTAAAGTTTTATTACTTTAATTACTTTTTATCATCCTAATTGATTATTATTCAGCACTCTCTCATGCTTTTTGTATATAGATTTTGTGTATTAAAATTAAAGAGAAAAAGGAAGAAAAAGGAACATTTTTCTAGAAAATTTAATCTACAATTTTTATAGAGTGATTTTTACTCCAAATAATAACATCTCTTTCTTAAAGATTGAAAATTGAACCACTGTTTTTCAAGAATAGCTCCGTTTTCACTTTTTAGAATGAGATTTCACCAAAAAATTTAGAGAATAGATAAAAAATGAAAAGAAGTCGAGTGTGCACTATAATAATTGTTCGCGTGTCCCTGACATTTGCGTGCACGTCGCTTGCGCGGCATGTAGTATGCATGTGCAATGTGTCGCATTCTCGCCAGTTGATCGAATTGATTACTTGCAACACAACGACGAGGAAATAATATTCCACTCGCTGTGTATAATGTATATTATTTACTTATCTTTAGGAAAAAAATTGATTCTTTTAAACAAGTCACCTCGTTTACATTTTTTATATTCAAAAGAGAAACAGGAGAAAGCGATAAGTTTATATAAAAAAAATGAAAAGATGGCAAATGCATAAATATTAATTTATTTATTAAAAAATATTTTTTTAATAAATAATATTTAAACAAAATAATAAAAGAAATAGACTGGATTAAATCGATCACAATAAATAATGCCGATATGGAGCTAGCACAGGATATTTGATAATGTAAATTACTTAATTTACACTCGAACATCCTGTGTTGGCTCTATATCGGCATTATTAATTATAATAATATTTATTTATTAAAAAATATTTTTTTTTAATGAAAAATAAAACAAACTGAAGCAACAGCAAATTTGAAAATTGAATTTTTGGTGAATTAGATTCTATGAATGGAAATTTTTTTTAATTAATTTTTTCCTGTGTATCTTTATATGAATTTCAGCTCTTTTTCTGCTTTCAAATCATCAAGCGAATCTTCTACTTTCAATTTCTTCTTTTCTTTACATGTATCCTCCAAAATTGAAACATATGAAATTATTTTCAAATCTGTAACCTAACACAGCTCTTAAAGCCGCCTCCTAAAGTCCGTTCTATTTCAAAGTTTTGAAATAGTATAAGAGAATTTTTTTACATTGGTTTTATTTTATAATTTGTCTAAGCTCTCTTTGTTTTATCAACCTTCCTGTTTGAAAAAATTTTTGCATTTAAAACAAACTAAATATGTATTTGATCGTTGAAGAGAGAGAGAGAGGGAGAGAGAGAATGAAATTGTTTATTCTTAATTCCTCTATTATGCGCATGGCTTAGTGATTTTAACCTATCAGAAATCGTGTATTCCGATGTATCTAATTTCTGATGGGTTAAAATTGTTTATTCTTTATTTTTTCTATTGTGCGCAGAGCCTTATGTTACAGCTCTTGCACACAAAACGCTTACCGCGCAGCGGAAGTTATCGCATGAACCAATGGGCGAGTTCAAGACGGTAAAGCGGCTAGGCATGCTTACCGAGCGATTGAATATGATTGGTTGGATCTGTAAGTAACAACCAATGTTTATTTGCTCGGCGAGGTAGGCTAGCCGCTTTGTCAACTTGAACACGTCCATTACTTTCGCCGTGCGACAAGCGTTGCCGCGTTCTGTGTGCAGGAGCCATTATGTTCTGCCATGCCTTGTCATCTGCGGTTGATTTCATGAGAGTTTAATTTGTTAAATGTAACATTTTACATCTCGGGATAAAAAAAAGAAATCTTTGATTTGTGTATGTAATGTTTGATCATTTGTGCATTAAAAATTTACAAGATTTACAAGGCAGTAAACTTGGAACATAACCTTAATAAATTCAATACACTAGTAAGGTTAGACCTTAAAGATGGTTACGAAAGCCAGTAAACAGAATGCGAAAAATTTTAAAAGTAAGTCATTGTTGCATACATTAAAAATACACATATCCTGAATTATGTTTGAACGAAATTATTTCGGCTTGTAGCGTTATGGGTTCGCTTTGACGCGGACAGTTCTGACAAGCACCAGTTATTTTTCAAGGAACATTCCATAAGAAATCAGGAACCGGAATATCCCAGGAACCGAACTCTCTTTGTGTTGAACATACCGCCGTACGCTACCATTGATTGCTTGAGCAATGCGTTTGCTAATCTGTGTGGAAACGTAAAATCTGTTACATTTTCAAATACGAAAGGGTTCAAAACTGCATATATCGTTTTTAAGAAGGAATCCTCCTTAGATAAAGCTATGGAATTTTCAAAAGATTTCGTAATTACATTGAAAAATGAGAAAAGCATTTGCCTCACAGGATTAGAAAGTAAGTTATTTATCTCTCGCAATCCATAAGTTTGTTTTTTGTAGTTGAACTAGTGTATATTTTTTTAACTTAAAGTGAAATAGATAAAATGTTCGATATTTGACAAAAGCAAGAAAGAATATTTAATGCAGTTTTAATACAAGAATGAAAAACAAACTTTATGTGTCACTTGAGGTTTGTTTTTTATTTCTCATTAGGCTGCAAGAAAATTTTCTTTTTTGCTTTCATTAAATATCAAATATACACTTACTTTCATTTTAAGTTCCAAAAGTTTATACTAGTTGAATGATAGAAAACCAATCTTAGAGCAATATTCAGACCTTATATTCAGGATCATCTTAATTACAATATTAAGATGTGAATCAATCAGACAGCATTGTATTAGTATTTTAAAATATTACTTAAGACGGTCTTGAAATAAGAACAGACTATGAATATCGTCCTGTTCTTTTCAGCTGAACTTCTTAGATTGTTCATTTTTCTTTTTTTTTCTCCACTTGAAAAGAAATAAAGAAAAGACAAATGATAAGTAAGAAGTTTAGGCTGCAAAAAATGGATCTTATTATTTTTGAACTTATTTTTTGTTTAAACAGAATGGTGTAAAGAATATAATGATACTTTGTACGACGAACAATTAATGAAGAACGACATTGAAGAATGTATAGCTTCGTATGACAAACAAATACAGGACCGTATTGCACAAGAGAAAGCTGCAGAGGAGGATAACGATGGTTGGGTAACTGTAACAGGTGGAAAGAAAAGAGGACAATTTGCTCCATCCAGGAAGGAATCTACCATCGGCAAGGTGCAACAGAAAGAGGAACAACGGAAGAAGAAGAAGCAATTACTTAATTTCTATACTTTCCAAATTCGTGAGACAAAAAAACAGAGTAAATACAATTATTCATAAGATTTATAGTAGAATTCTTTTTAGAATTACGTTTAACTTGTGTGATTTTTCTTTCAGATTTAGCGGAGTTACGAAAGAAGTTCGAACTGGACAAAAAAAGATTGCAGGAATTGAAACAAAAACGGACGTTTAAGCCATTTTAGGTATGTGTGTTAAATGTTGTAAATAATATTAGGATATAATTGTAAGATTAAAATCAATTGCGTTTTGTCAGAATCGTTTTATTTTTTAGTAAAACAAATATATAATTGTCTAATGATTATATTTTTATGTACAAACAATTATTTAGAATATCACGATCAAAATAAACTGTATTATCGTCGTTATTGTCGCCGCCGCGTCATCATATTAGATGGATGCAAAAATGTTGTATTTATTGTTTTAAACTTTGGAGCTTTATTCTACAATATTATGTTCAATTATGTTCACGTTGCATCATTTCAAGTATTAATTCCGCTCTATTAATTGTGTCAGTAATTTTGTTCTCGGTGTTAACTTTGTGATTAATTATCATTATTATTAAATATGAAAAAGAAGCAATTCAAAGCAATTTTTTATACAAGTTCAAACTAGATTGAAAGCAACGAGTGAGATCCTTGAAAATGAAGATGGGATAACTTCTCCAGCCATTGACAACGACTTGAAGACAATTATTGAAACGGATCCATTAAAAACTATTAGAGAATAACTAATCAATCAACAGTTATTCGTCATTCGAACCAAATCGAAAAAGTAAAAGCTCAACATTATTTTTGCATCAACCTAATAGTTATTTTCATTTCAAGCTGCTTTAGTAGCGTAAGTTTGTAATGTCCATTCTATCAAAAAATGCTGATACGATAATGGTTGTAGAAGGGCTAATAATTCCTCTGAAACAAAAATTTATTTATTATATAATATATTGTAAACTAGTATTATATACTATATTAA